TAATGTTCTTTAATATTTTCAACAGATTTACGTGAAAACCTTCAGCATTATATTATGATGATTTCGCAGTCCAGTAATTTCTCGGCACTCTGAACAAAAGCTTTTTCAATAACGTTTTTTGTACGCCTGATAGAATTTTGTAAGCAAATTGTTGAATTTGTAAAGAGATGTAACATTATGAGCAGGCGTTGATGTAATCATTTTGATATTAATATAGGTAGGTTATTTGTGTATAATGATGTGTTTGTAATAAATTTACATAAAGGCTCTTGTTGACTATACAATACCTTCACAAATAGATCAAAGGAAACGCTCTAATAACAAACAAATTCACGTACAATTGATTTTGTTTGCACATCATTATTTCAGCATGTGAAGCTTGGCGGGGTGTGTCAATCACAATGTCGCAACTGTGTTCAACAAATCATTAAGGATACACCGTCGTGGAACGTGTTGATATCTACATCTATAATAATGTGTAAATTATGGTTTATTGACTATAATGATAGTGAAATTTAGGCAAGTTCGATCATTGTTTGATGAACTACTTTTTTAATAGTGCTTAGTTTCGTTTTAAATCTTCGTAAAATGTTAGCACATAGGTTCTCTATATACTATAATTTGCTCCTGTTTATTACATTAATACCTACGTACCTAGGCACCTATTGCAAAGCGAATAGAACAATCAACAATAGAGTTGTTCTAGGTACTTACATATTAATTTCAAATTTGCTTACGCACGAGTCACGGTGTTCACTCATCGTTAAATCATTTGTTAAGTATGAAAAATCGTGTCTAAACAATTAGGTATGCGGGGGTGGCTTCAAAAACATTTACAAGACCAATATTTAGCATGACAGCAGATTACTTACCCTAAAACACCTTATTCAACAGCTAACAATGTATGCAGAAAAGAAAGGGCTGAAAATTTTTAAAATAGGATTTTTAACCATTAACAATTGGACAGGGAAACAGGCAAAAGAAATCTCCACCCTTTTAAAATAATTACGAGCGAAAAATAACAATAAAAGATGCAAAGATTGTGACGCAGCACTTTTTGCGCCGAATCGAGATTGCAACATCATTATTTTTTAATAATTTGTTTGTAACATAGAATGAGAAGCAATTTGGATAGTTGAGTAGTAGGTAATTGATTTTCATATCTTTTTATTTATGAAATGTACCTAAATAAATATGAGCCGGTAAGTGTGATGTTGCAGTGTGCATGGAAGGTATTTTTTTTTTTTTTAAGGGGGGAAAATCATCGAATGACTGCTCCCGCCTGGGTGAGGCGGGAGGGAGTGTCAGACTCTTACTGACTAAAAACCACCCCGTTCCTTCTCCTGCACGTCGAGCCGGAGCCCCGGTTACCCGTTAGGTTCTCCGCGACTCCGAATCGGCATCGGCCCTATTGGGCCCCATCTGTGGTGGTCTGATGGCTCTTTGAGGCGCGCGCGGAACGCGACGCGCCGTACGCTCGGGTCTGTTTCTGGTCGGACGGGGAGCCACCCATGCTCGCCGTCCGCAGGCCCGCGCTTACGGTGGCCGGAGATCGTCTCGCGATCCCCGACGCCCGGTGTGTCCTTCGCGATGGCTGGGTTGCGAGGAGGCAGCGCTTCGCTGCCTCACGCGTCCCGCCTCCTCCTTAGCATGGAAGGTATTACTATGCATTTAAAGTCCACAACAATATTCCTACTAATTTAAGCTGTCATTTTTTAAATACCCTAATATTTTATGTTGTTATCCTTAGGTATTAGAAGTAAAATCCCATTTCTATACAGAAACTTCTTATGTGGAAGTTTTCTACAACTCCACATAGCAGGCGGCATGTGACAGTCTTCAAGCCTCCCAAAATTTTTATGGTCTGGCTGCACGGTAAGTGTGGAAGAACCATGCTTCGGCACTAATGAGCCGGAGTGATACCACGTGTTCACATCACAGAAAACCGACGTGAAACAACACTTGTACTGTGTTTCGTCCTGTGAGTGAGGTTACCAGAGGCACAATTGGGATGATGACAGGGTATGAAAATTAAAAACCTAATTAGTCCGTAAGTTAGGTAATGAAAAAATATTAGACACGTATTTTTTTATTTTGTCGTATAATAAAACAATACTTAGATAAAACAAATCAAAGTTTAGGAGTGGGGGCTAAAATGTCATTTCCACGTATAAAATGCACATAGAAGTGACGTCACGCGACATTTCAAATCAATATATCGTCAAAAGTATTCGTTTCTGTGATAAAATAAAAAATACGTGTGTAATGATTTTAAATACTCTACCGGACGGACATTAAAATAAAAATTAAGCATCTACCTACCCTATTTCAATATCCCTGAATCCCCAATAATCCTGAAATCGTTGTCTCTGGTGTTCCACGCGCCTCCTTAGTGTTTCGGGTGTCCATGGGCGACGTCGATTGCTTACCATTGGGTGATCCGTCTGCTCGTTTACCGACGTACCCCATAAAAGGGCCCCATATTTTTTTAAAGAATGCTGCTACTGGTATCTCTTTGTGAACTAGCTTTTGTCAAAAACTACAATTATGATGATAATAAATAGACGATACCTACTCAAAAAATTGTCTCGGTACATTTTTGTGGCAGATCATGCAGAAAATCGATTTTACCCTTCGGCGACTTTACGAGCCACTCTTCCGGGTCGTTATCCTATGAAAAAAGATGGCTGAACTGACTATAGCTACTTATCACTATTCAATGTGTTATCGTAAAGTAACATACAATGCGTAATATCGTGGTTTATTCCTCGACAGAGTAGCCAGAGGCGATCTTGCACATTTACACTTGACATAATATGTCATTTACACTACTTAAATATGTTATTAGATTGTATTTACGCCGGGCCCGTGGAATGTTTCTTTTATTTTAACATTACACCACATTTAGGATATTCTCCTATATCGTGGATGCATTTACAAACGTTCCATACACATTCACATGTAATAACACCCAGACCCGAAACAACAATTTGTGGCTCACACAAAGATTTGCTCCGTATGGGAATCGAACTCGGGTACTGTAGCGGGTGTGTCTCAGATATAATATTGTAGTCTTTGGGTGTATCCACCATAGAAATTGTCGTTTCTTCGGGCCCCCTGAGGATGGGGGCTCTGGGCACGGGCCCCGAGTGCCCTTATGGTAGAACCGGTCCTCGGGGGGCCAAACGCCTCCTGCCGGAGGTTATACGCCGGGGTCGTGCGGTCCATGGCCCTCTACGGCGCCCCTGTTTGGGCGCCAAACCTGTTGCGGCGTCCCGCTCGGACGCTGCTCATGGCACAGAGGGTCATGGCGATCCGAATGATCCGCGGATACCGCACGATCTCTGGGGAGTCGGCGAACCTCCTTGCCGGATTACCGCCGTGGGATCTGGAGGCGAAGGTGCTCGCGCGCGTGTACAGCATGCGCGCGGAGGCACGTCGCCGGGGCGAAACCCCGCTGCCGCGCCAGATAGGTGCGTGGCGGGATGAGCTCCGGCGCGATCTCATGGCGGAATGGCAGCAACGACTGTCGCAACCGAGGGCTGGGCTCGCTGCCATCGCAGCGGTAAGTCCCCTCTTTGAGGAGTGGCTTGAGAGACGCTACGGCGTCCTCACCTACCGCCTGACGCAGGTCCTCACCGGACATGGAAGTTTCGGGAGGTACCTGTGTCTGATGGGGCGGGAGGAAACGCCCGGGTGTCATCACTGCGAGGACCGCCCTGAGGACACGGTGGAACACACGGTGGGAGAATGCCCTTCGTGGGCTGAGCACCGCCGTGTCCTCAGGGAAGTGATCGGCGATGGCGACCTCTCGCGTCCGGGCCTAGTGCAGGCCATGATGCGGAGCGAGGGGGATTGGGATGCCGTCTCCTCCTTTTGCGAAGCAGTCATGCTAGCTAAGGAGGAGGCGGGACGCGTGAGGCAGCGAAGCGCTGCCTCCTCGCAACCCAGCCATCGCGAAGGACACACCGGGCGTCGGGGATCGCGGGACGATCTCCGGCCACCGTAAGCGCGGGCCTGCGGACGGCGAGCATGGGTGGCTCCCCGTCCGACCAGAAACAGACCCGAGCGTACGGCGCGTCGCGTTCCGCGCGCGCCTCAAAGAGCCATCAGACCACCACAGATGGGGCCCAATAGGGCCGATGCCGATTCGGAGTCGCGGAGAACCTAACGGGTAACCGGGGCTCCGGCTCGACGTGCAGGAGAAGAAACGGGGTGGTTTTTAGTCAGTAAGAGTCTGACA